CCCACCTCCACCCCTCCCCCAGAAAAAAGTTTTTTTAAAATAAGTGAATAAATACATTTGATTTTGGTGTTTAAACATCTCATCATAAAATTTTATGATCATGAGATGAGGACCAAGGTGAAAAGAAGTCATCTCTTCTCTTTCTATGGCTAATTTTACTACATGGTAGGATATACAGCCACCTTCCCTAAAATGATTTTTTGTTGTTAGAGGATGACAATATACATTTTTTTAACCTTAAGTTAGTAAGTATTTGGGGCGGGGGAAAGGGCTGAGCCGGGAGAAAAATGCAACAATGAATGAATGGAAATCCAAAATCTCTGTAAATGTTCATTAAAATTGTTAAAATAAAATAAAATAAAATAAAAAATAGAAATTAAAAAAGTAAGTATTCTAGCAAGAAACTGTTTGAAACTAAAAGTCACTTCAATCCTGTATTTGTTTTAGTTCTAGATCTTAATTGCAAGAAATAGAAACTGACTCTAATATGAGCAGAAAGGGCTGATTGTAGAGATATTGAAAATTGCATGAGCTTGGCAGGGGCCTGGAGGACCCATCTTAAAAACTGACGGGAAGATTTTGATATGTGGCTAGACTCTAGTTGTAATCTTGATACTCGGCCACCGTACACAGTATTAGGAGTCTGGTCATGCTTTTTCTTCTCTCTCAAACATCAAGAACCGTAACTAGCAATCCTCTAGGTTATAAAAATACACTTAATGGTTAAAGACATCAGTCAGCTCTCATGTTGTATTTATAAACATGATATTTAATACTTTCTTTAAAATAAATCCCTACAATATTCTAGAGGTCCTCGATGAGATGAACTGATTCAGTGACTGGGGTAATAGGAGTAGGTGTGTTGGAGACAATAAGATTGTCACAGGTAGAGCAGGGTATAGGGCCATTTTACATAGGGTTGCTGTGAGTCGCAAGCGACTTGGTGGCAATAACAACAACAACAACAACAACAACAACAACAACAACAGATTTTCAGCCTAGACTGTGTTAGATTTTATCCCTCCTATTATTCTTTGATGTGCTTCAGAAATTTCTTTACATCAAAAAATTATCTCCAAAAGTTTGACTGTGTGTGTTACTGTGAAGCACTGAACCAGAACCAACCCATCCTTGGCCCTCCAGTAGGTTTTCAGAGGCAGTAAATTGCACGGGATTACACCGCCTATGTTTATCACCTGCAATAGTTGGTAGATTTGAACCATGTACCTTTGCCTT